TGTATGTGTGTGTGTGTGTGTGTGTGTCTGTGTTACTGTGTGTTTGTGTGTGTGTGTGTGTGATTGTGTATGTGTGATTGTGTGTGTGTGTGTGATTTTCTGTGTATGTGTTTGTGTGAATGCGTGTGTCTGTGTGTTTCTGTCTCCGTGTGTTTCTGAGTCCGTGTGTATGTGTTTGCACACACCCCTTAGATGAAGTTAGGCACACAAGAGGTTGAGGTGTGAGTTCTCTGAATTCTTCTTTCAAACTGTTCTACAGAATTTTTCGAGGAAAATATAACAATATTGTCTTCTTTATCTCAATCATAACGGAGAAACACTGACTACTGAACAATGAGGCTTGCGATTGCAGCAGAATTTACATATCGCGTCGTGATAGCTGGTAATGCGGTTTAAGGCGAAATGTCTTGATGTCCACGTTAGGTGCCAGGTGGGGCACAGGTCAAGGTTTGCAGTGATTGCATTGCTGCATTTTATGTCCCCTATATTGCATTTCCCTCCCATTACTGTAGCTGGATAGACGAAGTACTTCCAGCGATTGCCCACTTCATCAAGTAGATTGGATATTCATCCTACAAAAATCAGTTTGATAGTACGTGTTTTGAAAAATATTCAGTTCTCTGGGATTGTTTTGTTTCTACATAAATGTCAGAGCTCTTTCGGCTCTCCATTCGCCTTTTTACTCAAATATCACACCACACATATCCATGTACGCCAGAGAAGGACCTTTGAGCACTGTGACATTTTCTTGCGTCAAGCTTCAACTAACGGGTTTGCCAGATGGCCTTACTTTGCTCCGGTGCATTTATCAGTGATAATTGCCTCTGTGCTTGATTGAATCGTATCATCATTTTAAGTACTGTAGCATCATCGGCAGATAAACTACATGTAAATACTATAAATGCAAGAGAATATTTACCGCAATTACCTGTTTATATACTAGTAGTCTACGTAGTGGGATGTGGATTTTGAAAAAAAAAACATTTTATTATTCCAGGCCGATAGTGAGTGAGGTGCAGCAATTTCTTGGCGACATCTCTATGGGATCTTCCCTGCAAATGACCAATCTCGGCTCTTTATCCCAATCGATGGAATCGTTCGGGTTAGCGTGCCTTCCAAATACACCCACTCCCACTCCCCTTTTTGTTGTTGTCGACTGCCTAAAGTACGGCAACACAGCGATTTTTTCCTGTGTTTCTTTGAATTCTAGTTGTATGTTAACCATATTTCAATGGCATGCTGATGGAAGATACTTGCTGGTTGTTTCGCTCAGGATGTTCGGATGGGCGCTAGGAACGATAAAGCAGCAATGTGACACAACGATTGTCGACTGCCTACTAGAGTACGGCAACACAGCGATTTTTTTCCTGTGTTTCTTTTGGATTACAGCTGTATATGCTGATCATCTCTAATGGCAACTTGATGGAGGGTTCTTCTTTATTGTTCTCAGAAGAGTCAGTAAAGTCCCAGGTGAACGCTAGCCACAAGAAAGCAGCAATGTGCAAAGCGATTGTCGACTGCCTGCTAGGGAGTACGGCAACACAGCGATTTTTCTCCTGTGTTTCTTTTGAATTCTAGTTGTATGTCAACCATCTTTGAATAGCATGCTAATGAAATATTCTTCCTGGTTGTTCTCTCAGCAGGGTCAGTGAAGTCCTGGGTGGTCGCTAAGCCATGAGAAAGCAGCAATGTGCAAAGCGATTGTCGACTGCCTGCTAGAGAGTACGGCAATACAGCGATTTTTCTCCTGTGTTTCTTTTGAACTCTAGTTGCATGTTAACCATCTTTTAATGGCATGCCGATGGAAGATACTTAATGATTGTTCTCTCAGAAGAGTCAGTGAAGTCCCCGGTTGACGCTAGCCACGAGAAAGCAGCAATGTGATACAACGATTGTCGACTGCGTACTAGAGAGTACGGCAATACAGCGATTTTTTCTGTATTTCTAACTGTATGCTGATCATCTTTAAATGGCATGCTGATGGAATATTCTTGATAATTGTTCTCTCAGCAGAGTCAGTGAAGTCCCAGGTTGTCGCTAAGCCACGAGAAAGCAGCAATGTGCAAAGCGATTGTCGACTGCCTGCTAGAGAGTACGGCAATACAGCGATTTTTCTCCTGTGTTTCTTTTGAACTCTAGTTGTATGTCAACCATCTTTGAATAGCATGCTAATGAAATATTCTTCCTGGTTGTTCTTTCAGCAGAGTCAGTGAAGTCCTGGGTGGTCGCTAAGCCATGAGAAAGCAGCAATGTGACACAACGATTGTCGACTGCCCAGTGTACGACAACACAGGGATTTTCACTATGTTTCTTCTGAATCCTAATTGTATATGCTGATCATCTTTTAATGCAATGCTAAAGAAACGTTCTTCTTTGTTGTTCTCAGCAGAGTCAGTGAAGTCCCGGGCGGGCGCTAAGCCATGAGAAAGCAGCAATGTGACAACCCAAGATACGACACGACCATCGAGATCAAGCCGCTGAACGGTCCCCGGCCACCGCCACCACAGCTGGGCGGAACCCCCAAGATGAGCGATGGTACAATCGGCCGTTTCGGAACGATGACACTCGGTCGGGCTGGGTCCTTGCCAGGGTCATTTGGCGGGCGGCCGGCAGAGAACAGGACACGGTCTTACTACCGCTCCAACTGGGACTCAGACGAGAGTATCGGTAAGCTGAAAAGTTCCTATTCATGTTATCCATTTATTAATTTATCCAAAATTGTTACGCGGAAATACAAGGAGTGCACTTGGGAGCAACTGTGCTGATAGCGTGCATACAAATACAAACATTACATGTAACAGAGAGCTTATAAACAATAATGAATAGTTAAAATTAATACATAAATAACTCGTATAAGCCCCTTAACATTAGCATGGATGAAATACATTGCTTTTCCTTATCTTTTTTATTCATCAATCTCCTCATTTTTTTTAAACAAGCGTAGAATTCCTGGGTCCCTTGTTTTGATACTCGAGTGGAACGTTGCATCATTTTTTCTCTATATATCCAAATATATATCAAAGATAAATCAAACTCTACTACCAGATACCGGATAGATCGACGGGTAACCTCGTCGATAGCTCCATAGATCGACCATTAGCCCCATCCCTTTTTAAAATATCAGGATTTGATTAATTCGTAAAGAAAATGCTCAAACAATATATAGTACTATCAACTAGGCCTGTAAGTTCATTAGTGATACACGTCATAATCTCCAAGCAGATCCTGGGGGGGGGGGCTAAATCAAATTGGTCAGGCAGTATCCATTGGCCAGAGAAGGTTGGTGGGGCTGGCGACAAAAAAAAAGCAAAAACAAAAAACAAAACAAAAAAATAGCCATATATAAAAGGTAACGATCTTCCCCCACCAACCTCTGCTTGGAGTAGCATGTCACTCGAAATGTCCGGAAGCAATCTCTGTAATACATCTTGTATTATACTTTGCATTGGCTATGAGTAATGCTCAAACAAACTTCAAGCAAACAAACACACCACTATCTAAAGTTATCGCTAAGGCGTACCCAGGCCTAGCACTCTGGAGGTAGAAACTACGCTACGGGTGAAAGAGCAACAGTGTCTGCTAATAGGCCTGTAGGGGTAGGATGTTTTCCTGTGTCACAGTTGTCTAATATAAGACTTGGCAGGCATCCCAACGTTAGAAGGGGGCACACAACAAAGAAAACCATTGGGGTGGTCCACATCATTAAGGAACGTTAATTTGTCCAGAGGTTGTTTTTGGTAACTGTGGAGAGAGTAGCAGCGTGCATGGAGGTAATTTACGCACATATTTTGACACGTCCTAAATTATAAGCGTTGCTAATGAAAACCTCAGTGGGTTATAGGTCTTCATGGACTCGTTAACATTGTAGGATAGGACACACCACGCGTGATTGAGCATTATATATATCTTTCCATTATGGCATTATATAGACCTTGGATACAAAACGACGTCTACCACTATTGAAATTCACTTTATGTTCACATTAAAAAAATTTCACAGTCTGAAAAAATGGACATGTTAGTGGAACCGTACGTTCACTGTGGTGCGAGGTGCAGGAAAAGTAAAGTCCATCCAGGATTTTTTTAAATTCTATCAAAACATGAAAACGTAACAAGGACAGTGTGACGCTGCACTCAAGTTTATAACTTGTATTAATAGTGCCACACAACAAAAAAGTACAATTAACATTTAAATACACAAAGTTGACATATCGGTGCGCCGTAGTCCCAGGAATTCTTTGTTAACTGTATTGATAAGTTCACTGTACACAAGTAACAGTGAAAACAGTGAACATAAAAGTACAGTGAAAAAAAATTGGAATTACAGTATAAGCTTTTTGGTCGCAAAAGACCCTGTCATGGACACTAGTCGACCCTCCCCCCCC